TATTTCCGCTAAAAAAAAATTTCGACATTTTTTTTACATTATGATACTTCATAAATTTCCTTATTGTACCTTACATAGGTCGGAAAGTAAAAATGCTGGGGCAGTCGAGGCTTGGAATCGTATGCCGCTTATCGCGAGGTCGTATTTCAGTTGTTTCTCTTTTACAAGAGCAAGAAGGAAAGGCTCACACTAGCGTTCTTTATTTCACTACGTTAGACGCTAAGGAAGTTCGCCGTCATTACTGTCGATTTCGATGTACTCAATTATGTCGAAATAAGAGATTTTGCCCTTATATGAGCAGCTTTTGGGTCGGATGAGGTCTCATTCGAAAGAGGAAGGTCCAATGCAGTGCGCTCTGGTCAAAATCGAACGAGATTCTGTTCACATTTATTAATATAAACGTCGAAAGTCGAGGAAAAAATGAACGAAATACAGCCGTAGAATCGAGGGCTGGGTTAGTAGTATATGTATACCTGCTATCCCCACCACTCTGTTAGACGCTAAGGAAGTTCGCCGTTACTATTGTCGATTGGTCACACTGTTCGGAATGGTATATGGCAATAGCAAGCAGCTGCCTCTGATTTCTTTAGGCGGCAGCGTATCTGATGGTATTACCATTTCTGTGCAGAGAATATCTGCTGTCACAGACGAGATATATGAATAGACGTTTCACCTTATGGACTTTCGCGGCCGAATCTGACTGTCATACCGACCTGAAAATTCGTAGCTGATTTTAGCGGCCTCTTCTCATGGATGGCGGTTAGTTGAGAAACTAGGCACTGAATTAGTATTGATGGGCAGCCAGCTGAGTGGGTACGTAAATACATGTGAGTTGATTATGGGAGGGATTGGAAAAGACAGTGGAGTATTATCAGACGGCAGACCCGTGCCGAAAGGGAACTGCCCCACCACTCACACACACTAATGCCAACCACCTTGTATATGAGTTCTGGCGTTTCGTATAGCTTCGTAGATTCGAGAAAGGCGGCGAATGTCAGTCTATCCTTCTTGCTCTCAACACAGCTGAAATTCGATCTCGCATATTCTCGAGCCGAGATTCTCGACTGCCTAGGCATTTTTGACTTTCCGACCTGTGTAGGCATATACAATGTATAAGCAATATACCATAATGAAGAAAAAATTACAAAAATTTGTTTTTACGGAAATACACGTTTTAAAACGATAATATTTTATGAACATATTTTAACCCTTTGCACTCGGTTGTCCCCTCTGAGGGGACATGAAAGTTTATTAGTGATTAAGGAGAATGAACTGATTTCACCGCAATTTTTTAAGAAACACATGTTTTCCTGTACTTTCCTATTAAAATGGGAAATATTCTATTAAAATGAGAAATATATCAGCCGTTTTTACGTTGGAAGTGGAAGGATTGTCGAGGATGGTCAGAGGCGTATGGTCGGATTCAAACACGTGGACAATAAACGTAACTATATAAACTATATTATTTAATGTTTACTAAAATTATTTAACATAAAGAACATAAAACGTAAACGTAAAAAACTATAAACGTAAAATCGAAACTTCATTCAAAGTCGAACCATTCCTATTGCTATCTTCGTTATAATCTAAATAAATTAACGTTCTTTGTCGGACAATAGAATGAATAATAAGCTACATATTCCAAATGTAGGCCAAAGAAACCGGGACTGCATTATTTGTTCCGACAGGAAAACACCAGGAGAAAGACGTCAAACAACATTTTATTGTGAAACATGTATAAATCAACCTGCTATGTATATTGGGAATTGTTTCAGAATTTACCATACCATAGAAAATTATGAGAAATAAATTTTTATTTTGTATTGTAAATATGTGTTCTTCAATGTCCATAAATACATATAAACCAAATTTCAACACAATGCCTTACTTGGTTCCAAAGTTGTACCATATAATATCACAAATATCGCTGTTACTACAATGAATTCTATCTACACTTACGTGCCTGTTATATATATACGACTCGCCGATTGTTGACAAAAAATCTGCAGTATGTATACGACTCGCCGATTGTTTATTGTTTCTATAGATACATCGAGGCGGCCGGCAATGAATGCGTATAACAGCTGTGCTTAAAAACTCGATTTGTGTAGCCGGCCGCCTAACGGCGGCCACGCATTCATTTTCTATTTCAATTTTCTTTATTGATATTATCAGAAGTGGGAAAGATTTCAGCCATTATTTCGACAAATTTAATTATTAGATCATTAGCATGATATTGTCGACGGAAGAAGAATTCACCTAAATAGCCTACATAATGTATTTGGCGAGTTCCATACTTCAGAATATTCGAACCTTTGACAACAATGCAGAACTAGATTTAGCTCGACACATTATACATTATTTGTCGTCGGTTGTCATGCCGACTAATACAAACAAGAGAAAAAAGCAACGATCGTGGACTGATGCAATACAGAGCCACAGATATGTACATATAGACAGAATTCATTGTAGTAGTAGCGATATTTTTGAAGAAAAATCTCGGAAACTAAGGCCGAGCGGCGGTTATATGTATAGGAAAAAGTTGCTCAAAATGTTGATTTCTACAACATATTCAAAAATCATCGAAATCGGTGAGACCCGGCCTTTTCTAAATAATTACCTCATTTTCTTTCAATAATTCTCCATTGCAAAAATTCTACAGTATTCTTACATTTTTTTATATTTTAAAATTTTCCCATGTTATTAGAAAGTAGATATACAACGAAAGTTATACAATTTATAGTTCCTAGCATGTATAACATGTATATGTATATAACGCATGGTCGCTTCGTATGGAAAGTCAATGAATCTTCAAAAAGCGCCCAGGTCCGATTTCGAGAAATGTAAGGTCTGTCAGTCACGATGGCTTTTGTCGTTTACTGACGATTCGAACGGTTGGCGATGCCAGGCTTGCTTTCGAGAAATGTAAACGACGTCAGCGATGCAAGAGCGAGAAGGAAAGCGAGTATCAGCCTGTTCTTCTCGGCTCTTCCGAAACTCAACGAGCTCACGTACACGCAATTGAGCATAGTGTGCGAAAGCGAGGAATGAGGAGTTTCCGGGGCCCCGATGCACAGTCTGATTAAACTGATTTCGAGTCGCAAATACGTTTCTGCCGAGTTATTTTTTTAATAAATGATGTATTACAATTTAAAATAAAAAATAGAGAATTTGCGGTGTACGTATCAATGAAATACATCCTTATGAATTTTAATAATCTTGAAATTTTTAAATACTCTCAATCGATTGATTTCTCCAATGAAATTAATCGATTAATGTCCAATGATGGACCCTACAGCTTTAATTCCGTTAAAAAATAATAAAATTTATGTAATTTTATTTTCTGTCTCGCTTCCTCTTGTGTTAATTTCTGAATCTGTTGATAACGTAGCGAGTGACACGAAAATGGTAATGGGGTCCCGGGACCCCAGAAACTCCGGCCGAAAAATTACATTACGTGAAACGTCTATTCATATATCTCGTCTGTGGTCACGTGCCGTGCCTACCCCCTTAACCAAGGCTTTTTCTTCAATTTTTTTCGTGTTATCGACAGTGTTATATTTTTCAAGCATCGACAGACGAAGACTCGGTCGTGCCTTGTCGTCGCGACGTGGCGCTGTCGAGTCCGACCGTCGATCTCGTTTCAATAAATGGTATGGTTCTCTCTCTCGACGCTGACGTCACTAAGCCGTTTAAATGGCGTTTGAAGCGAATCTTCGCGTGAGGTCGGCGTACGAAAACACGTAAACGGCCGCGGTTTTAAACTGTCGGTGCGCCGAACGAACTCGGCGACCGCGTAACCTTCCGAAGTGTCACGTACACAAACAGATACGGGAATCGCGGTCGAGATTTATTCTTTCCCGGACGAACGCGATTTTAAATATATTTAACATATTTAAACATGTATTTGCATTTTTGTAAAACACGTCTCGCGTTCTTTATATTAGTGTCTACACCAACACTTTGAGCAATTTGCCTTGCAGTCATCTTAGAATTTGATGCTGCTCTTAGTATTGCACGTCGTTCTCGGGCATTTACACTTTGCGAACGTCCAGAACTTTTCTTTTTACCATAGTTTTCCGGATTTTTCAAGAACTTCATTATCACTTTTCGACTTCTATTCATAATTTTTGCTATTTTTGTCACTGAATATTGTTCTTCTTTCAATTTTATTATAGTGTCCATTTCACACGCGTTTAATCTTTTTCCACGACCCATTTTTGATAATACTTCGCCTTTTTTGAACAAATATACAACACGAAATAATATCACGGACTTTATTAACTATGTTCCGAGGTTGATGTTCGCAATTCGCGAGCTTTAGTGTAACTGGACAGCGTAGATTTACTACATGTCTATCATTTTGTCCCGTTTGTGAACAATAATATTTACATTTTTTGTGTTACAATCCTGTCGAAGTATTTGTTGTGGACGATATTTTGTAAATTGTATACACAGACATGCTCTGAGTCATCAGTAAAAGAAAATATGTATCTTAGTCAGCTTTTAACACAAAATATGGGAAAATATAAGGTGTGCTATCTTTTTGTCCCGGAGTGTATGATGGAAGGTATCTAAGGAATACGCTGCTTGCGCCCTCTTCCAATCACACCAAACTCTGAGCACTTCTCGTGTTGCGGATTTTCGTCGGTTGACATCTTATGAAACAAGGTCGCCCAGATTTCATTTTTCATATTTTCGAAAGAGTTCGGATTCCGCCGTATTGCCAAGCCATAATAAATTGTTAGTTGATCAATTAACCCATTTGCATCCAAGCGCGGATTAATTCGCGAGCCTACGACTGTTTTTTTTACCAGTTGCGAAATATAGTATACTTTGGTTGCGACAGACCACGTTTAACCACTTGTGGGAGCGTTTTTTCGTTTTTTTGTGAAAATCTTTCAAACTGCCACTATGAGTAAGTGCTGTCAATCTATATTTAAATTCAAAAAATCCATGTTTAGAAAATAATCTTATTTTATAATTTAATCTAAAATTTAATTGCCCCAATGGATTTTGAGTATCTTGATTCGGATTCAAGTATTGAGGTACGGCGTCCTAGAAAACGTAGCCGGAGGATTTCGTTAAGTGATGATAGCGAAAATGAACAGTGCGGCAGTTGTATAAATCAAGAGTACGTGTGGAAAGCCGAAAATCATACTCCCATTATACATGGGTTTTTAAGTGCGGGTGGTGCAACCGTAAATACACGAGGTTTGTCGAGAAGGGAGGTTTTTGAACTGTTTTTTAACTTGGAGTTAATTACAAAAATAATTACGGAAACAAATAAATATGGCGCAAGCGACGCAGAGTTTATACCTCTTGAAGACGACGAATTAAAAGTATTTATTGCTTTAAATATTTTAATGAGTCTAGTTTCTAAGCCCACGATTCAAAGCTATTGGACTACTGATAAAAGTATAGAAACTCCGTATTTTAAGAATATCATGAGCCGTAACCGATTTATTTCTATCTCCAAAAATTTACACTTTTTCAGTACAAATAATCTTAATGACGCACTGATAAAAATTCGAGAAGTTACTCAAATAGTAAAAAAAACTTTCATTCGCATGTATGTCCCAAATAAAAACATTTCCATTGATGAATCACTAATGTCATGTAGAAGTCGTTTGCATTATATACAATTTATTCGAACAAAACGTGCGAGATTTGGTGTCAAGTTTTATAAACTCTGTGATTCAGAATCGCGATACATACACAATTTCAATATATATATATTAAAAGATAAAACTGATACAGGATCTGCTAGCAGAAATGTTGTAATCAATTTGTTGAAAGAGAGTCAATTATTGCATAAGGGGTATTGCTTATTCATTGATAATTGGTACAGTTCACCAACATTATACCGAGAATTATATAATATGAAAACAAATATATGTGGAACAGCGCGAATAAATAGGAAAGGAATGCCTCCGGAATTAAAATCATACAAATTACAAAAGGGAGAAGCTGTTATATTTTGTACAAAAGAGATAGCGGCGATAAAGTGAAAAGATAAGAAAGATGTTGTTATACTAACACTATGCACGGTTTAAATTTTGGTGAAACAGGGAAACGAAACCGATATACTGGGCAAAAGAGTTTAGAACCAACAGCAGTAATAGATTACAATCAATATATGGGTGGAATTGATATTGGCGACCATATGTTAAGTAAATTTCACACAATGCGAAGATGTAAAGAAGCTTATAAAAAAATATTTTTTTATTTTATTGACATGATGTTGTTGAACAATTACATAATTTTTAAAAATCATAAGAAAGATTCATAAGAATTCATAAATATTTACCCAACATAAATGTAAATAATGCACTTGTCAATGATACCATTACGCGATTTACTGGCAGACAGTTTCCTATACGGATACCCGCAACTCTAGCAAAAGGAAATAGAACATCAAAACGATGCGTTGTATGCTTAAGTAAGTCAATTCGAAGAGAGACAGTTTTTAAATGCCATGTTTGTGATAAAGCATTATGTATTGACCGTTTTAAAGAATTCCACGAAAATTAATTCATTTAAATTTTCATTTTAATTTAAATAATTTTATTTTCTGTATAAAAAAATATTTGTTTTTCCTTTTTTGTAAAAAAAATGTAAAATGCAATATTTCCGATATAACACTGTGTATCAATCGTTTTGAACAGTACATTGTTAATAAACTCCATGAATAATTTGGATGCCCGTTACTGCACATACGATCGACTGCGCGCGGCGATACGAGTCAGTCCTAGTTGAACGTCGCTGATGTTTCAACGCGGCAGCTTAAGTAGAACGATGATGCAAATGGGTTAATTTGGCAGTTAATTTACCTGTTCTTCCGAGGCCTTTCACTTATTTTGTTATATTTCTCAATCGAGTGCCCATTCTCCTTTGTGCATGATCAATGCACTCTTGCTTTTGCATTTCAAAATTTTCGTACGGATTTTTCTCCATTATGCCCTTGAAGGTTTTGCTGTCACCATCACCGATGTAGTTTACGCATTTGATGCCGTGCAAAGTTTCGGAGCGTTCAAACATCTCGACGACAGCGTCTACCTCCATTTTACCAGATGAGCCGTCATGGTTTGATTGACATTGATCGGTGTACGTTTTGAGCCATTCTTCATACTCAGCTGTTCCTAATTTACTCTTCCAGTGGTCGCAAGACTTACAGTACTTCGACTTCACTTCAACGTCGACAATTTTACCTGTAAACCATCCAATCAATGACATGATTCGAGAAAAGCGAGGAAAATCCACGTTTCCTCTACGAACCATCACCGGAGACAGTTATCCCCGCAAATAGTCCATTTTCTTCACTTTTCTTTTTCTCTTCTTCCGCTGCTCTCTTTATACTAGCGTCTACTACGGTTGCCGTTGCGGTCGAAGTTATATTCACTAATTTGTCGTAAAATGATTGAAATATCGGTCGTGGCAATTCCATGAATGCATAAAACTTAATTATTCCATGTAACTCCATTCCTAATAGTCGCATTGCTAGCATGATTTGACGGTTAATTTCATATCCATTTCGTATGAATGTACTATTTGGATTGTCAACTCTTGAGCAATTCAGACAAGAGATGACTATTTTGAAACCTAAACCCCGAGAATTTGTTTCATGAAACGTTATGTCTGAATCGCATATTTTACACTTCACGTGTTGCGAAATGACAGAGAAAACGGTAAAAAACTTTATGATTATATAGCCAAATTCACATTTTATATCGAAATCTTCATCGCCAACTTTTAATTTTTTGGCAGAAGCACTGGTTCCTATCGAATCGCTGTCAGCCTCAAATCTATTCAATGGTCGTCTCGCTGACACATTGTTTCGACGCCGCGTTGGATACGATGTTTTCGTATCTTTCTTGCCCGTAAACACTTTTTTGTCACTCATTCTAACTCATAGAAATCCAAGGCTATAATTAAACTGTTAAAAATTAGCACTACACACAAAAATCGCGATTTCAAGCGAGGAAATGATGTCCTTTCTATAGATGACAGTTTTCGGAACATTTTTCAGCTGGAACGAAAAGTTGTACGCACTTAATAAAAAATTACTTTAGTAATAAATACATGAAACGCATTTTATTGGTGCATATAGTGTTTTAATTATTAATGGGACCTCCTTTATTTTCTACTACTAAAAGGAGTCTCCTCGGAACACTTTGGATCAGTCCTTCCAGTACTTCCGGTGTGATCGCGTTCCAAGCGTCGATTATTACGTCCTGGAGGTCAGCAATGGTTTCGAATTGTCGATGATCCTTGTAGACATCCCTGGCAATAGTTCTCCAAACATTCTCAATAATATTCAGGTCTGGACTTATAGCCGGTCACTCCAAAACCGCGATATTCCGGTCCGCGAAAAACTTTTGTGTCCCTTTTGAACGGTGAACAGCGGCATTATCTTGCCAAAAAGTATCTCCATCATCCATATGAGGTAAAAGGAATACTTCAAAATTGTGGATGTAATCCTTCGAAGCCTGCTGACCGCTTAGAAATGCCATTCGAAACTTCTCCCCGAGCTTGAGGGGGCACCTTTATGTAAAAATCCGAAATTAAGCTGACTGTTAAGAATCATTTCGAAGGATAAGGAATGAATAAATATTTATAAGGTTTTGAGGACTATTTAGAAAATATTTCAATTTAAATTTTGCAATTTTTTTTGTTGAAATAAAATGCAAAATGGCGGAGATACAGCATGATGTGATAGAAGTGTCGTGAAGTGTCTTCTAAAACGGTGTACACTCTAGTGTCGGTTCTTATTATCTGAAACTGCTAAACAAAGAAATATAATTATTGTAGAAATAGAGTGAAAGACGGTAAAATGATGATCAATTTATTAGCTTTTTAATACAATGTTTTCCCCAGTTCGGTCACCAAGACACTGCTTTTTCTTTTGTCCACGCACAATTCATCTTTTCGACATTCACATTCCTTCATCCTGCTCTTTACACTCGTTTTCTCTTTCTCTCATTCACTCTCTTCTTCTTACTCGCATACATTCCTCTTGCTCCATTCACACCTGTCTCGGAAGGCCATGACCGTTTCCCGAATCTCGTTCATGTCATGGCTTCCGAACACCGCGATATCGATCCGTTTCGATCGTTCCCTTCCCACATGTAGCTAAAGTAAAAGGATGAACCTAAGATATCAAAAGAAAGATAAAAATTGGAAAGTGGCAGACCTCAGAATAAAAAGCTTAATATTTCAAAGAAAAATTGCAGTAAAAAAAAGTTTATTTCCGTGATTTTAACTTACTTTTAGGTTCATCCATAAAACATTACTACCATTAAAATGTGTATTAAATTTCAGTCGGATAAGTTGAGTAGTTTTTGAGTAATCGTATACACCGATTTTGAACTTAACGAAAAAACAATTTTCGAGAAAATCGTGTTTAAAGTTTCGGCAAGAGAAAAATGTCTGCTATTCCAACGCCGTACAGTAATCCTTCTGCTTCCTCAAAATAGTCATTTTGCTCCGCCAATTGCTTTCTACGTGCTGTGTGGACCTCTTTTGTGGACAACGAGCTGCGCCTCCCTTGCCTCCGAATCCGGCGCTGATTAGTTTTCTCGACATAATCCATTGCTTGTTTTCCAATTGTCAGTTGTAGTTCCTGCATTATTCTTAGGATTGATAAATACTCTTCATTAAAAATGCTGCCAGCTATAAATGCAGTAATTTCCTCTATTTTCAATCCAGAATGGAAGTGCTTCGGAGCCAAACGTCAGACGGTTGATTTGAAGCTCTCATTAGCGTTTTGCGTATGACCGCCTAAACAACTCTGCAGCAAATCTTCATTTGACAATTCTTCGAAAATCGGAAGAATATGCTTCTGCACATCAGAATGAAGAGATGGAGGATGATTCAAACTATCAGTGCTCGTTCCGAGTGCTTCGGCTTTTTTCCATTTGCGCCAACTTTTTTCTCCCGTCAGATAATGCTCATGCCTCGGATTTTCATTCGTTGAACACAAATGGTAATATGTAGCCATTATAGTATTTTCATTTCGATAACACTGTTTATATTTCTTTTAATAGCTAATCCATAATAAGATTGAAGTTTTTTGATAAGAGTATCCGTTAATTTTCCTTTACCACCAAGTTTATTTGTCTTTTTAAAATTTCGAAGCCGAGTACCCATTCTCTTCTCTACGTGGCCAATGCACTCACTTTTTTTACTTCAAATTCATCACCATATGGATTTACATCTAAAATCGCTTTGAATGTTTTTGAATCTCCATCTCCAATATAGATCCCATATTTCACTCCATTTTTCTTCAGATTTCACAAACATTTTCGTAATTGCAGATACCTCCCTCTTGCCTGCGGAACCCTCATGATTCTTCGCACATTCTTCTTCATGATGTTCATACCATTCATGATATTCTTCGGTATTTTCTCTTCTTTTCCACATATTACATGCTTGACAATAGCTACTTTTCACTACTAAATCAATCACCTTGCTAGAATAATAACCAATGAGTGTTGTAACACCATACAACGATTTGAATCCTCGCTTTTTCCACGATCCATCGCCCGACACCTTCAGATTTAGAAGCTGTCTCTCGCGTTTTTCATTTTCCTTCTTTTCTTCTTCCACAGCTTTCATACAACAGAATTCAAATATTGTTTTTGCAGCTGAATGCATATGCTTCACGATGCTATTATATGATGCAGCGCTCAGCCCATCAAAAATATCCACAAGGCTAACAAACAGGTTTATTCCATCTTTGGCAACACCTAACAGACGCATGACTAATACTAGTCAACGATTTACTTCAAAATGTTACAAAGTTTTTACATTTGTGACAAATGAGAATTTCAACTAAACCTGTAAAAACTGTATAAAATTTAATCAAACGATAACACAAAAGAGAATTATAAGATACTCCCCCACTGCTCTTACTCTGAATTTTTTTCGCAATTGCACTCTGTTCTACACCTTCATCTTTATTTGTCCTCTGTATAAACTGATTGCCATGAAAACGACGTTTACTGGGCCT